CTCTTACGGGAGGAATTAAGAGACAACCACATCAGTTCTTGCTGGTGTGTGGAGAGGCATGTTACCAAAGAGAAAAGGCATCTGGAGGCACCGGGGCTGGAGGCTGGGCCTCCCCTTCTGATCTGGATCTCACGGGGCCTTCTGGTGAAGCTGTAGCCACCTTCGGCCACAGCCAGTGTTAGGTAGCACTCAGCTATGGCAGCTGCTGGCCTCGTTTTCCCATGGCTGGTCCTAAGGGCATGGCCATCAGGGTGTTGCACTCCCACACGCAGTTCCCAGCACATCGGCTCTCCCACCCGCGAAAGTGTGTTAGAAAGGAAGATTTTAAAAGTGATCTTTTCATATGGAAACCATTAAGTCTGATCTTTCCCTTTCTAAGTGCATCATCCTCCCACTGCAGTGCTTTATTTACAATAACAAATTCTAGTGACAGGCCTCCCGAAAGATCAAGACAGCCCTATGTGTCACCCTGCCACTGGGAACTGCAGCGTTAGATATTCTTCCTTCCCAGGGCTCCATCCTGGGGCTTTTCTCTCTCTCTCTCTCTCTCTCTCTCTCTCTCTCTCTCTCTCTCTCTCTCTCTCTCTCTCTCTCTCAGCTTGTGGTGCTGTCAATTTGCTGTTTGATGCTATTCTGAGTAAAGAAAAATTAAACTTGTAATCTATTAGCATGAATTTTACCACTGATATCTCTATACTGTGCAATGCCAGCGTCTCATATAAGTACAAGAGCAGTTAAGTGCTGTGCAGAATCTTGAACATTACAGGAATTGCGTTCTGTAGCTCACATATGCATATGCATTTAGTCCTTTACCAGATCAGTGTAAATGCCACGCAAACCAAACCCAACTATTTTTACTTCACTTCTTGATACATACACACTCTCTTCCAACACGCACTCCCTTTGGCTGACAGGTAGAAAAGACAGCCCAAACAGAAAAGGAACTGTGGGGTGTCTTATCTTTCCTTCTCCTGTCTGTCATCACTGTCAGCGTAAGTTGTTGGCTACTACCGAGAAGTAACAGGAGTGAGAAAGGACAGGACAGGGCTCTTTGGTTGATCATGTTTCTTAAACTACCCTGCCTTCTTTCTGTGGCCTAAACAATTTTGGTTCAAATGGAAGGGATAGCCTGTCTGGGCTGTCAGCTCTCCATATACTTGGTTCTCAGTGTCACAGGCTTTTACCTTGTTATCCCTGAGTCCTGCTGAACGCCCATGCTTCTGGTCTACCCGGATGCTGTGCTCTGGGGGCAGCCTGAATGCTGTATCTGAATGGGGCAGCAAGGACAAGGAACAGGCACGTTGCATCCATCTCTCCTCATAACATGCTCTGTTGTCCATCCAACTTCATTTACAAAACAAAAGTTCAAAGATAAAAATTATGATTTTCTAGATGGTGACAGCAGAAATGTAAACCAAGCTCAGGACCCGCATGAGCCCGGGCCCTGCGTGGTTCTCTGGTCACATCCCCCTGAAGCCAGCCCCTCCCCATTGCCTCTGTGCCGGCCATATTGGCCCTGATGTCCTTTCAGGGCCCAATATGTTCCTTCCTGCCGAGGCCCTATGGTGTGCTGACCGCACCGCCTGGCACTCGCTTCCCTTCCTCATGGCCAGGCTGTGCGCCTCTGTCTGTTCCTGTGGCCTCAGCTCAGCGTCACCTCCTGAGGTCACATCCTTAGGTTAGCCTGCCTGCCTAACAGGTCGGGACTCCCCTAGCACCAACCACCTGTCAGTCACCATGCTTCACTGAGGGATGTGATTCTCTGGGGGCTCATTTCCCTGCCCTACAGGACTGCCAGCAGCTTGTAGGCCAGGGCTGGGCTGGTTTTCCTCATCACTGCTGGGCACATGAACAGATGAGTAAATGAATGAAAGTCTTTGCAACAGGAACTTAAGTGTCAGATGAAGAGGTGGGATAAATGAAGGTGAATGAATTCCAGGTTTCGTCCCAAGGGGGACCAATTTCTGTCGCCGTCTGAGCCGGTGAAAACTAGGTGAGCATTGTGTTGCCCTGGTTGACTGTCCCTTCCACTAAGTGATGAGTGCTTAGGAGTGTCCTTACGTCTTCAGGTGTTCCAGTCATTTTCTCTGATACAATTTGCTCTCAGGCACCGCAGGGCGTATCGAATGGAACTGAGCTGAATTGAGTGAGATGAAAATATGTCGCTCCGAGGTTTACTTCATCTCACCCTCCCCTGTGCCTCCTCTCCCCCCCCCCTCTTTCTCCTTTCCCTCCTTCCTCTCCTTTCCTCTGGTGCAGGATTTCTGAGTCTCGAGAACTACTTTAATTGCAATCAAGTGTTCCCAACAGAAAATTGCCCTCTTTTATTTTTGGTTTAACTGGTCTCTTCAAAGAGAAATGGTCTGATTAGCCTTATAGTCGTGACAGTGGTTGGGCACTTCAGATAATGTTCGAGAACCGGTCTGGACATTTTCGGTAGTAATACTCCTCTATTGGCATTGATCTTTGGATAGAATCACAAGGCAGGCACTTTAGAACTTCATCCAGTTAAGCCCCAGATAGTTCTGAGCAGAAATAGGTTGAGGATGGGATGAAGCCGGTCCTCCCTCCCCGGGGGCTGCAGAGGGGCTCTGTGGGAGAGGCAGGGAGGAGATGCTGGTGATCCCGAGAGCACTGCCTCCTGTTAGGGCCTGGCCCACACCTGTCTCGCCTGTCCATTTCCCCACAACTACATCTGAGAAATGGCCAGGAGGGGATGGAGTGAAAATGGAGTGTTCATAATGAAATTGAGGATCAATGAAATAATAAAAATCAAAAGCCTAAAGGTAAGTTTGTTATCGATTGGCCGTCTCAGAAAATATAGTTAGTAAGAGATCAGGGCAGGCTTCCTACACGTAAAACGGGAGATTTCTCCCTGAGTGCGGCTTGAATGGGGATATAGAGTGGGACGGGAAGCATTCCCCACAGGCGTCCCTCAAAGATCACGGGGCTGCCCTGGCCAAGTGGTTCAGTGGGTGGGAAAGTCATCCTGTGCACCAGCAAGTTGCCAGTTCAGTTCCCAGTCAGGACACAGACCCAGTTTGTGAGCTTGATATTTGGTCCGGGAGCTGTTGGAGGGCAACCAATTGAAGTTTCTCTCTTACATCAGTGTTTCTCTCTCTCCTCCCCTCTGCCTTTCTCTCTCTAAAATCAATAAAAACATATCCTTGAGTAAGGATTAAAAATAAAAGTTATGGGGCTGCTTGGAGAGGGTGCAGTGAAATAGGGCATGAGCCACATCTAGGTTTTAGACCAACTTTAATTCTGTGACCTTGACCAAGTAATGACCCCTCTGATCCGTTTTCTTTTTTATTATTTGTACAAACCGATATAAAACCTCTACCTTGCAGGTTTGTTAGGGAGAGTGGATGAGGTCACCTACATGGGAGTAGATACACAGCTCAGAACCTGGCACAGAGCAGGCATGCAGTCATGTTATCCCTCCTTCCCACAGTGTCACTTTGCGGCAGCGGAGCAGATGCCTGGTCACCTTGACATTAGGGCCCCCCTAAATTATGCCCCCTCGGTGCCTCACGGGGGTTCCAACTGTGCAGCGGGGGTAATGTCAGACCAGCGCTGGGGTACCTCAGGGTAGGTACCCTCCTCCCAACACTATCTCCTGGATCATTTTACAAGTGACACAATTGAGAGCCAGGAAGCAATATAATTGGACTAAATCATGGAGTAAGTGGCAAGCCTGGAATGTGAATCCAGGCCTCCAGACCAAGCCTACGTTTCACTCCTTGCTGCCCAGGCCACGTGACACTCACACCTCCCTTTGTACTTGAATGGCCTTTCTGGACACCCAGACATGGTCTCCCCAACAAACCTGTAAACTCCCTTAAGACAGGAGGGGATGTGTTTCAGATTTTCAGCACCTCCCAAGGCAGGCAGCACAGGGCTTACTTGCAGTCAGGTTTCAAGAAACAAATATCCACCTATTGGGACAAGGAAGGTATTTTGTCATTTTAATGCAGAGAAATAGTTATAATACACATTAACCCAGCTGAGGGGGAGAAATGCATTAATTTCACAACATGTTCAACCCTTTAAGAAGCTAGCTTCTCGGGCTCCATGGGGATTCTAGAAATCGCACAGACTCACCCCCACTGTTTTGAAATAAAATTGCAACTCAGAGTGGATTCCTCTCCCCACAGGGAAGCGGTGGGTGGAGAGACATGCCGGGGCAGGGGGGATGTGGCTGCAGCAATGTGTTGTGTGTAAGCCTAGAGCAAAGGACGGAGCAGCACGGTGTGGCTGGCAAGCGCACAAACCACCGGGGATCCTGTTGAGACGCAGATTCAGACTTGGGAGGTCTGGGTGGGACCTGGGCACCTGCATTTCTAACTAGCTGCCAGGGATGCTCATCTGTGCTCACAGCGCACACGGTCAGGTAGCAGGAGGTGGTCACAGGACCAAAGATTGTGCACACTTGGGCCTTTCTGCCTTCCCTCTACAGTCATTTGTCTTTTGACTGTAGACAATTGTTTTATTTTTTTGTATTGATCAGAGAGGAAGAGAGAGGGAAATAGAGATATCAATGATGAGAGAGCCATTCATCAGATGTCTCCTGCACGCCCCCCACTAGCAATGGAGCCCGCAACCCAGGCATGTGCCCTGACCAGGAACTGAACCATGACCTCCTGGTTCATGGGTTAATGCTCAACCATTGAGACACACTGGCCAATGTGGGCACATTTTTAGTGTCCAACTGGGCAGAGGGAAACCTGCTCAGAAAAGTGGGAAATTTGACTCTTCCCTCTTCTTCTCCCAGATACACTTGATGGGTGACACTTCCATGCGCGAAACACTTCGGTTTTACCATCCATGAAATGAACACATTGGGCTGGGTCTCTGGAGCCTCTTGTGGTCTGAAGGTTCTGGGTGGAGGAAATAGCCTGGAGGCGTTAGCTTTGCAGATCTGGTGCAACTGAAGCTCCGTCTGCAGTCTGGGAGTTCTCAGGATCGCCACTCACTGCTCCTCTTTCATCCCTCTGCAGGTGAGATTTGTGCATTCAAGATCCACGGCCAGGAGCTGCCCTTTGAGGCCGTGGTGCTCAACAAGACATCCGGAGAGGGCCGGCTCCGGGCCAAGAGCCCCATCGACTGTGAGCTGCAGAAGGAGTACACGTTCATCATCCAGGCCTACGACTGTGGCGCGGGGCCCCGGGAGACGGCCTGGAAGAAGTCACACAAGTGAGTCGCCTGACCCAGCTCCTGGGCCCCATCCCACTCTTGCCCACCATCTCTGTCACACGCTACTCTACAGACATACTACTCTACAGACATCGGTACCCAGTGGCCATACCATGGTGCTCCGGCCTGCACAGCTGCTGGCCAGCTCTTAGACCACTGCAGGCACCGGTACCAGCCGCTTTCTACACTTAAGATTCTCTACCCTCTGCTTCCCAGGGAGACAGCTCTGTTCCACCATCAGAACTGAGTGCAGTGTCACTTCCTTTGGGAAGCTTTCCCTGAGCCAGTCCAGCCCTGCAGACTTGTTGGGAGGTTGGGACCTTCCCCTGGGTTCTGCCGTGCCACGGGCTGCTTTCTGTCCTGGCACTCTTCACGTTGGCTTGTAACTCTCTCCCTTATGGACTTTGACTCAGAGACTCACACAGAATAAGAGTACTTAAATTCTTACTCAATGGTGGGGTGAGTGGACAGGTGACAGATTGATAAGAGAGAGGAGAGACAGTCCAGAGGAATACTATTTTCAAGAGTAACAAGGAAGGCCAATGAATAGGGAGGAGTTGCTCTGAGGTGGATTTATTACAAGGGATCAGAGCGAGTGCCAGTAGAAGGGTCTCCAGTGAGATGGCGGACAGAACACCCAGGCAACAACTGCCTGACTGGTTGGTGGTTTCTCCATTTTCTTGGTGTTGGGGCCAATGGGCGGTGCAGAAGATGGTACAATTCTTTCTTTACCACCGTCTCTTCTTTTCTGCGTGTGGTTCCAGGGCCGTGGTCCATATCCAAGTGAAAGATGTCAATGAGTTTGCTCCCGCCTTCAAAGAGCCTGCCTACAAGGCTGTAGTGACCGAGGGCAAGATCTACGACAGCATCCTGCAGGTGGAGGCCGTTGATGAGGACTGCTCCCCCCAGTACAGCCAGATCTGCAACTATGAAATTGTCACCACTGATGTCCCTTTTGCCATTGACAGAAATGGTGAGTGTCCTGAGAAGACCCCAGTAAGGGCAAAGAACCCCCCCCCCATTTTGAAGGCCAAGTGGGGGCCTAAATGTATTCAGCAGACAATGCCTCCCGTGCCATCCCTAATCTAGGCTCTATAGCCCAAAACTCAGTCCTGCTCTGGAGAGATGTCCTGGCATGACTAGCAGCGCAGCCAGGCACCTACTCAGAGGGCACAGCCTATAGGACTCACAAAGCCGCTCATCTGCACACGGCTCGGTTTTCTGGTGGAATTTTCAGTTGTCATCTAGGTGTGAGTCATGCCCTCAACTCTGCCATCCCTTTCTTACATAGTAACCAGTTGTAACATCACCTCACACAGCCTTCTGTTTCCTACTCCTAAACAAAGGGCAGGTGGAGATTTCTGAAACACCTACTGAGCTGTAGATCCATTCAGGAACCTTTAAAGGTCTTGTCAAAGTCCTTTGAGAGTTTCTACCCTACTGAGAATGAAGGATGGAAGAACCCTCCCACAACAGCCCAATCCCAAACTGAACTTCCTGAAGGAAAAACAGTCCTAATAAAGCCTGGTGGACATTTCTTCATCACCATTAATTAAAAACTCATTGTGGTATAAACATGACAGCCAGAGGCCCAATCAGCGCAGCCCCTTTTAACTGCAATTTTCAATAACTTGATATCGATCAAATGAAAATTATTTGTCAAGTATATTATTTAATTATTAGCGTGAGTGGGTGGGTACATGTATATCACCCCCTTTGTTTCAAATAGGACTTAAGTACTGCACAAAGACTCAAAAGCAGCAAAATCTGACATTCGTCCACTCTGTAAATAATTATATTGATCCAGTGCTAAGCACAGTGCTGGAACTGGGAATGGAGATAGAGTAGAACCTAAAACAGACATGGACCTGTCCACATGGAGCTTACCATTGAGTGGGGGGAAATTCAAAATAAAAGATTCGAATACAGGTGGCATCAAAGTTGCTGGGCAATAAATTAGCTCTGAACTTCCTGGCAGCCAAGACCTAGAGGGAAATACCATCCGTCACCTGCTTACAAGTCTTCAGTGATTCCAATGCTTCGCGATGCTGAGACCAGGGAGAAACCCACCCTGTGATAGAGTCTTCCGCATCCTGAGAACTGCAGCAGATTCCAGAAGGGAAGGAAGCCAAGGAGACACCCTCCTCCCTGACCTCCAGGCGTCTGTGACGTGTCCTGTAAGAGGAAATCAGTATTCCTAACAGAAAGCAATTTCCTTATAAAATGCTAAAATACATAGAAATAACATTTACACACCTGGACATTACCAGATGCTAATTGTGTAGGACACAAGATCAGTGCATAAAAACATAAGATAGAAAATGCTAGACTTCAATTAACGTTTGGTTTAGGACTAAGAAATAGGCCATTTCAACTAGTAGAGCATGTCAGAACTGCTCTCTGATAGCTTTTCCTCCAGATGGGTGACCCATCCCTACCACACAGACACGTATCTCACAACACACACACACACACACACCCCACTTCATAAAATATGAACAACTCTTTTGTATTTTTCTGTTCCCCCATGATCAGCTATTGGATCTATGTGTGCAAACACTAGCATCTGGGGAGTGACAAGTCCCTCCTGAAGAGCAGAACTAGAGAAGGAGGTGTCTGTGATGAGTGGTCAAGCTCCCCCTGACCCCCTGCCTCAGTCCCAGAGAGCCACAAGCCAATGAGAGATGAGATGCAAATTCTTTCATCAAAGGGTAAACTGCCCCAGTCATGGAGATAATTACTCACCTTGATGAGCCATTTCACTAACATATGCCAATTTATTTCCCTCGCTGTCTCATTAAAAGTGAGTAATGGTTCTGTGCCAGGCCTCTGCCTCCAACATTGGTTTACCACGCAAGATGAAGTGGAGAGTGGCACTCCCAGAGAGTGTGGGCCCCTGACAGTGAGGCTTACAAAAATACTTCTCCTAGTAATGAAGATGGGACCCACCGGCAGGCACAGAAGCAGCTCCCATTCTAATGAGCTTGGCTCTTATCCCTCACTCCTCCGGCGACCTTACAGGCTCCTTGAAGAAGTTCTCTGCATGCATATCAGAAAAAGTACTACTGAGTCTAGGGCCCACTCACTGAGGCTGCAAGGCTTCAGTAGATGGCTCCCACCCCCAACCCCCACCCCAATCTGCCAGGCTCTTTGTTTGTGAGGGAAGGAAGGGGAGCAGGGCACAGGGAGGAGGACAGAATACAATGTGGACTCAGAATGACCTGTCTTAACTGAAGACTCAACCTCTTCCAACAGAGATCCTCAGCCTCCCTCCCCGTGAAATCAGGGCAGTAATAGTGCCTGCCTCCCTGTGGGGCTGTGAGGCCTCGGGGAGAGGCAGTGCCCGGAGATAATGCCTGCAGGGCACGTGGCATATAGGGAGTACTCCATTCATGGTGCCATGTGACTTAGGTATTTACGGGGGGTTGCGACATGATGGTTACTCACTCACTCTCTGTGGGTTTCCAGGCTGAAATTATGAACAGGTAGCCCTGAGCTGGTGACATCACCCACCTCCTGGGAAGTTCTAGATGGATTTCAGATGGTTGCCAGGTCCCCATCTTCTGGCATTTGGCTGGTCTCTCAGAGATCAGTAGGGCCTAGATGCTCATCTCCATTGAACAGATGGAAAAGTTGAGTCCCCGAAGCATCAGGAGCTTGCCTCCAGCACCTCTCATGCAGGTGGCAGAGTTGGGACTAGAGCGAAGGTCCCCTGAGTGTTGGCTCCAAGGCCTTTCCACCAGTAACATCACTCTCCTTCCTGATATTTGACAGGAATGCATGGCAATGGTCTTTAAGTTCAAAAACTCAAAATTGCATCTTAATTCTACTGTGTGTGTGTGTGTGTGTGTGTGTGTGTGTGTGTGATCCTTGACCAGTTACTTAACTTTGCTCAGATCCTCATCAGTAAAATGGGAATTAAGTATCCTGCCCGTGTAAGGGGTGGATAAACAGCAAAGGAGGCATTCACCAGAGCGTTGCCACCGCCAAACTCTCAACCACGTTTGAAACTGACCACAGAGGATACAGCAGGGACTCAGGGACACCCACTCACCCCTGGGCAGACTTGTCTGATTCTCAGGGGTGCCCATGGGCGGTGTGGAAGATGACACAATTCTTTCTTTACCACCATCTCAGCCGGGTACTCTGCCAGTTGGCTACCCACAGAGTAATGGGGCTCATGCTTCTGAGTGAAGTGCATCCTGGAGTCTGTTTATTCTTACAGTAAATGAAAACCCTTCTTTTCCACCTGAATAGAAGATAACACATGCCCTTGTGGGGATTTTGGAAAGCATAGAAAAGTGCGAAGAAGAAAATCAGTCATGTATAACCCCATCAAAGAGAACCGCTATTAAACATTTTTTTAAAAGGTAGCCACTATTGATACTTTACCAGTAGTTTTCTGACTTTTTAAACAAAAGTATGGCCCACACTTCTCGCTTTTCTTTATCCTCCCTTTTTTTTTTTTTTACTTAACATTCGATTACATGGATTTTTTCCATCCTTAAAAGTGCTTCACGCCAAGACCGTGGCTCAATGGATAGAGCGTCGGCTTGGGGACTGAAGGGTCCCAGGTTCAATTCCGGTCAAGGGCATGTACCTTGGTTGCGGGCATATCCCCAGTAGGGGGTGTGCAAGAGGCAGCTGATCGATGTCTCTCTCTCATCGATGTATCTAGCTTTCTATCCCTCTCTCTTCCTCTCTGTAAAAATTCAATAAAATATATTTTTTTTTAAAAAGTGTTTCATAATGACCGCTTTTAGTGCTGAACAGCTCTCCATCTCACCCAGACTCTTATCCTTAGCTTCTTCCCTGCAACCAGACACACCGTTTCTCTTCTATTTTTTGCGAGGCAATAAATAATGCTGCGATGGACATATTTTCGCCCGTATTTACGATCGTTCACCATAAACATCTGAAATTTTTCTGGAACCAATTTTTAGATGTGGAATTGCATGCCCCAAAGGTATGAGTAATTGCAAAGTGACTGGCCCGTATAGCTTTCCAAAAGGGTTGTTCCAAGTTCAGTTCCAGGGGAGGGAGTGTGCTTGCCTCATTGCACCTCCTCCCCGCCTGAGTTTTAAAAAATTGCCTTCACCCACACACGAGGTAAGGGCTGACGGTTCTTTGAGAGTTGGCTGCCCAGGCTCCTGTGGACAGGGGGACGAGGCCCCGGGACAGCCATTACCTGGGTTAACCGTGGACTCAGCTAACGGAGAAGGTACGATTGGAGAAATCATTCCAATGTGCGAGGGGAAACAGAATTGTAACAGAAGCAAAATGGATGGCTTCTTCCGAGCCATCGAAATGTGTTCAATGGGTGTCTTATCCAGATGTTGCTCTCCCCACAGGATAGCAGGTCCCAACATTGCCTCTCATGGTGACCCACTGCTGCACATCTGTGCTCTGAATCTTACCCTCACACCCGTGAAGGTGGTGGTGGTGGCAGAGAAAGTAAATTAGTTTCGCAGACAGTTTCATTAAGATAGTTACGGGAGAGGAGCTGCAACAAATTGAGGCACGGATTGCCGGCCCGTGTGTTTATTTTTCCAGCACAATCAATAGTGCTCGGGCTGCTTAATGTCACACGGATTGTAAACCCGAAGCCTTCCTCTTCTCAGAGGCGTATCTTTAGAGAGCCATTTCACTGTAGAGAAAGAGAAAGTTAAAACTTTTTTTGTTGAAAATTCAATCCAATGCCACTGAAGCCTCCTTCTCGTGGTTATAGCACGGTGCCTGCACCTGCAGAATCCCTCCCCTGTGATGACTGGGACCACAAATGAGTTTGTTAAGGGAACCCCAAGGGAGTGTTACCAACCCAATTCCAGCGGTCCCAGCCATGTGCGGGCCCAGGCTGAGACTGAAAACAAATATTTGGGGGAAAATGAATGGGATTCTGAACACCAGCCACAAGGCCAAAAATACTTCAAACCCATTTTTATTCAGGGATTTTTTGACTGGCTTTGTCAAAGTAAATTTTACTTCAAATCCGAGGCTGCAGTTGCATTTTTAGAAACAATCCAGAGAAGGTAGCAGACCAAGTGGATCCGAATGCTTGGTCCAATGTCATGGGCAGCTTCATCCCTCCTCACCACCACTCACCTCCACTCCCTCCTCCTCCTCCTCCCTCCTCCTCCTTCTTTTCCTTCCCCTCCTCCTCCTCCTCCTCCTCCTCCTCCTCCTTCTCACAGGCATTCACATTTATTGCACCTGCTCCTCGCTTGCTACTGGTTAAGACTGGGTGATTGGTGGATCAACTTGTCCGATCGTTACCACATTATGTGACTTTTCTAATTTCCCAGGCTTTCTTGCCTTGGCCCCTGTTATCTCAGTTCCCATGAACAATCATCAGTTGGAATGGAAGAAAGCTCATTAGATAGTTTTCCCTTAGTTTGGATGAAATCTAAAAATGTGCGGGCGTCAGCCATTCCACACTTCTTTAGTGGCTTTGTTAGTTTGTTTTGCCTTTAATTTCCACTTTCTTAATTTCACTTCTGGTAAAGAATGATGATAACATTTGAGTTCTAATTTGCTGTCAGCTCTACCATCAGAAAGAAAAAGGAAAAAAAACCCACAAGAATGAAATTACTCTCAACAAAGGAAGACTTGCATCTCTTGGAATCAAAAACTGAAAAATTATTCAGTGTGCATCGGGCCTCTCATTAGTTTCTTGGAACCAAAATGGCATTTTAGCAAAAACCGTCAATTAAAGTTTAGCTTGTTGTTTATCAAATATTTATTCCTGAACCATAATATCACACCCACAGGGATACAAACACACAAACGGCTCATAGAAAAAACGGTTTGGTCTCTCTTGGAGAAGAAAAATGTCTTTGCCACGGGGGCAAGGGATCGGTTATTCTGTGCAGCTTTCCAAGAGAGGTCACACGTTTCCTTATTGATTTTACTTCCTATTTGGTAGCAAAATAATGTGAGAAGAGGCAGTGAGCATTCCTGGCAATGAGCCCAGATGTTAAAAAATATGTGTCAGGACATTTCTGAATTCCATCTTTTTTTTTCCCCCCCAGAGATCTCATGGCAGATGAGCTCTGGGCCTGACATCCGGGCTGCAGCCGCATGGGGCTCTTTAAGAGAGAGTTTTCCAGCAACCCATTACTTACAAACACAAACCAGTCAGGTCCCAGACTTGTGCTTGGAATTCAAAGCATCCCTGCCCCGCAGCTGGGAGGGCTCCAGTCAGCTGGTTCTGGAATCTGCCACTGAGGAACGGGGCAGGCTGCATGCGGAAGCCATGGCCTCCTGTCCCCTTGACCTTACAAAGAGAGGGGGAAGGGCTCGTTCCATTCCGGTGGAGGTTGGAGGAGTGGGGGGGGGGAGGACGTGGGAGAACCACAGCGTGCTCAGCGTGATCTGAAACAAAGGTGACTATCTCTGTGTCCTCAGGAAACATCAGGAACACCGAGAAGCTGAGCTACGACAAGCAGCACCAGTACGAGATCCTGGTGACGGCCTACGACTGCGGCCAGAAGCCTGCTGCTCAGGACACCCTGGTGCAGGTGGACGTGAAGCCCGTGTGCAAGCCTGGCTGGCAAGGTGGGCCCCCGTTTGTCAGTCGTCGGAGGGGAGGCAGCATGGCCTGGTGCAGGGACGCTGCTAGGCCTATCCTCACGTCGACGCTGCTCATGGCTAGAGGGATGCTGAAAGGGCATTCACGCTGCTGCAGGGAATAGAGTAGCTGGTTTATTCTCACAGCTTCTAGGGTGATAGTGTCTCCATTTCACAGGTGAGAATGCCCGAGGGAACTCGTCTGAGGTCACATGCTCGGTTGGTCCAGGGTGCTCTTTCTCAGATCCCATGGCATTTTTGGATCAATAGTAATTACCCACGGTGCTCAGCAGATGGCCGGTGAGCCTGCTCACTTTATCGCAGAGTGCTGCGTCGGACTGGTGGGTTTCCAATTTGCCTCTTACTCAACCCCCCAGGCAGGGTGGGTTTGCACCGAGGGCGTCCAGGCAGAGGCTGGAGAGCCGCATCCAGCCTCCAGGCTAAGGGGTTTCCAAAACGTTGGCTCTGGAAATGGCGGAACGACGCCTCGGATGGAGGATCCACTTTGTGCTCGCTTAGATCTTTCAGGGTGCAGAGGCAGAACAGAGATCTGGTTACCGTCCTATGGCAGAGGTTTGTCACCGCGCTAAGAGGAAACCAGGAGGCAAGGCCAGCTGCATAGAAGGTCTTACGGAGAACTGGATGGTGGTGCATGGAATAAGGACGGCTCTAGCGGTGACATGATTGTTCAGGTGGCAGAGCAGTTACCTCTGGGCCATGCACTGTTTTGGCTGCTTGACTGCTCCTGTTTCTGCTTCATGTGGTGATGCTACTGCCTATCCATGGCTCATGGTGCTTCGTGGAGTCCTCCACTCTGTGGCTGCTGTTTATTGCCTTCCCTGGGTGTGTCTTTAAGCTTCAGGCCCCTGTTATTCATATTTATTCATATTCTATCTCTCTCTCTCTCTCTCTCTCTCTCTCTCTCTCTCTCTCTCTCTGTCTTTCTCTGTGTGTGGTGTGTGTGTGTGGGGGGGGTATTTTTCATTCTTAAATTCTCTCATAGAGGGTGTAGTTCACGTGTTGGTCACTCACATCCCTGTGGGGAGACTGATGCCAGGCCACCATCTAGGTCACTGGCCAGCCTCTGAATGGTGGTCAGGCATATATTCCTAATCCAATTCATCAGGGCCAGATCGGCTAGACCTCGGGGTGCAAACAAGGACACCTGGGTCACTCCCCTCAGAAGGCAGCTCTCTAAGTGCTCTCTGCTGCACAACCTGCCTCCCCTTAATCTTTCAACTGGGGAGCAGAGAGGAGCAATAAACCCACCTCTGGACAGTTAGGGTAACTTGCCTTTGAACATAGAGGCGATGAGCTCAGTCAGACACATGAGACATGAAGGACAAAGTAGAGATGTCTTTGTGTCGGTCTGTTTAGGAGGAAGCAAGAAACAGAGAGAGAGGGGCAAGCTAGCCTGACGAGCTGTGTTCCTCAGGGAGCCCAAGCTCTGGTTGGGGGTAATTCACCAAAGACCCTGAGGGCAAGATTCTGTCTTTCTTGTTCACCAGTGAATTCCTCAGGCTTAGCACATGTCTGGTCCTGACGTTAGGTGCTCAAGAAATAGTCATTGAAGAATAAATGAATGGATGAGCTGGCTGAGTAAAGAACTCCCCTGGTTTTATTTTAACTTATAAGGACTGGCCCCGGTGAAGGTCTGGCTTTTGAAGAGAAAGCCTGGAAAGAAGATTAAAATCTTTCTAAGCATGAAAGAAGCTCACAGGGGGGTTTTAAGCAGGAAAACCAAAGCCAAGCATCATCTGGAGAATGGTCCCAATGGCTTTTGTCTCTGATAAATGAGACGCCTGTGACTTGGAATTACATTTCTGTAACTGTATTTAAGTGTAATTTCCTAACAGAGTTGGTGCTTGTTTCAGTGTTAAATGTATGCAAAGAAAAATATTTTAATAACGTTCAGTTCTGTGTGCAAAGGCTGAGGGGCACCTCTCCAATGGTACATAGTGCTCTTTGTGGCTCTAGACCAGTGGTCGGCAAACTGTGGCTCGCTGCTCTGTTGACTAATGAGTGTGCCAACCACTGCCTTAAGGGGAAACACTTTAAAAAAAAACAAAACATTTTAATAATGTCTTTAACTGAAGTCAAAACTTCTGGGTAAGGATAATGCCTTACACAGTGGTCAGCAAACTCATTAGTCAACAGAGTGGCAAACCGTGGCCTGCGAACCACATGTGGCTCGCGAGCCGCAGTTTACCGACCACTGCTCTAGACAGTGATCTCCTGAAGTAAAGACTGTGCCCATTCATTGTAGTGTCTCCAGCGCCCAGCACAGGGCCAGGCATAATTCAGGTGATCGGCAAGCGTTGAATGGACAAATTGTAAAAAAAACATAACTGTCTGCACTAGACGGGTGCTCAGTAGTTAGAGCATCAGCCCACAGACTGAAGGGTCCCAGGTTCGATTCTCATCAAGGGCATGTATCTCAGTTGCAGACTCAATCCCCAGCCCTATGTGGGGCATGTAGGAGGAAGCCGATCAATGATTCTCTCTCATTATTGATGTTTACATCTCTCTATCCTTCTTTCTCTCTGCAACCAATATACATATTTAAAATAAATAAAAGTATCAGCTCTCCAGACTCAAACTCCTGCAGAACCTCATTTCCGCCTGCCTGCCTCATCCCTGAACATGATCCCAGGACAATAATTACACCTGGCCCAGCACCAGGTCACCCAATACCACCAGCTCGCAGGGACTCTCCCACAGGCCAGCTCCTGTTCTTGCCACCTTCACAGGAAGATGTCTCATTTCAAGTAGAAAGAAAAGGAGATACAGACACACAACTGAACCATTTCTTCCCTGTTCTTGGGGGTGAGTAATTCTCCTCATGTGTCAGATGGCCTCATGTTTGTTCCATTCCATGAAGACCTGAAGGACAAAGTAGAGATGTCTTTGTGTCGGTCTGTTTAGGAGGAAGCAAGAAACCCCGCCTTTAGGAAGGAGGCGGGTATCGTTTAGAAGCGAGCTTCTTAAACCTAAATGTGCATCTGAGCACCTGGTGTGATGCAGACTCTGAGCTGGTCAGCCTGAGCTGGTCAGGTCTGGATGTTGCTGGTCAGTCACTTTGAGTAAGAAGGCCACACAGGAAATGTTTCCTGCCCCCTACAGGGCAGCGAACACTTTTGTATTGGAAGGACAGCAGCGGGAAAGCTCTGGTTGAGATTAATTTTCCCTTCGTCATCTGCATTGGGAGGTCACTGAAGCTGACACGCATCACACATGGGAAATATTTCCGTAGTGAATTTATTAATCCTTTACTGAAGGCCCACTGTGTGCTGAAGACGGGATAGAGGCACACCGACCTACCAGGGCAATGCTAAGGGCATCAGCGCTGTGGAGGGAGCTGTGGGCACACAAAGGAGAGCCTCTCTGCCTCCAGGGGGTGCACCTGGACCATATCTGGAAGCTGATAGTTTCAATGCAAAGAGGAAGGGTGTTCCACTCAAGGGAGCAGATGTCAGCAAGGAGGTTATTCCATCATATGGCTCAGGTATGGAGGGAAAATGGAGAGGCCATTGGGGACCAGATCATGCAGGGGGGGAGTGCTCCTGTGTTACCCCAAGGGCAGTGAGGAGCCCAGAGCTTTCATGCCTAAGCACGGCGGGGGCCTCTTGTAGAAGAAGGATGCCGTGGCCAAGCACACAGGTGGTTGCTGGGATGCAGAAGTTCGGCAGGGAGACCAGCTGAAAAGGATTATTGCTCCTGAGTGCACTTTTAATGGGAACGCTTCTAAAGTGCTGTATTTATTCCAAAACCAATTCAAAGTGCTGCTCTGCAAAGGAGGCTGGATTTTCGGGCTAATTTCATGAGACTCCGTAGACAAGGAGGCAGGTCATCAGTCAGGCATGTCTGAGGTAGACCCCTGCTAAGCCTTGTCAAGGGTATTTCCCAGTCCCCTCTCCAGCTGTCCACCTGTCCACATCTCTGCCAAGGAGAAAAAGCCCAGGCCCTCGGGGTCAGACGGCTGCACCCTGCCCTTTCCAGAAGTCAGACCAATTATTGATCAAGTGCACTGAAGAGCTAGCTGGCTGGGGTTTTACTAGAGGAAAGGCATTGATTTTGAATCATAGGGTGATAAGCCCGGGAAGGGGCCCAGCTTTGCTGAGAGGAACAATCGAGCAGGGAGCAGAGGTGCAGCTGTGTCCATCAGGTTTCATGACAATGTTACCCTTCTGCAGGCTGATGCATGGGGACTTGGCCAGGAAGACAGAGAAAAGAACCCCCAGTTCTCTCCTTTAAAAAAATATATTATAATTTTTTTAAAAATTATAATTTTTTTACAGAGAGGAAAGGAGAGAGATAGAGAGTTAGAAACATTGATGAGAGAGAATCATCAATCAGCTGCCTCTTGCACACCTCCCACTGGAGATGTGCCCACAACCAAGGTCATGCCCTTGACCGGAATCGAATCCGGGACCTTTCAGTCCACAGGCTGATGCTCTATCCACTGAGCCAAACTGGTTTCGGCCCCAGTTCTCTCCTTTACTGTCCTGCCGTGTGTCCAAGATCCCACCATTAGGGTACCAACATTTTGTTCCACAGGATGATCCCCACCTAATATGCAAATGCGTCTGGCAGGATCCGCTAGTAAGCCAAGGGTCTGCAAAGGAAAATCACAAGTCAAATCCAGTTGGCCACATGTTTTGGTATAACTGTGAGCTAAAAAAAAACAAAATGCTTTTTACAGTTTAAGTGGTTTTAAAAAATCAAAAGGAGAATCATATTTTGTGGCATAAGAGTATCATATGAAATCCAAATGTTAGTGCCCATAAATAAAGTTTTATTGGCACACAGCCATACTCATTTATTTACATATTAGCTGGTGCCTGCTTTGGCACTGCCACAATAGAGCTGAATAGTTTTGACGGAGACCAGATGGCTCTCAAAGACTAAATATTTACTATCCAGTCCTTCACAGAAGAAGTTTGCTGACAACTGCATGAAGCTATTACTGTCCATTGACACTGTAGTGG